GCTACCGACCGGGTCCAGCGGGCGCCCACGGTGGTCCCGTCTTGGTCCGGGAGCTGCGACCCCAATGGCCTGAGCTCGCCCAAGAAACTCCAGCCAGTGAGTGGGGGGGAGGGTGGTGGGCAATGGTGGGATAAGGACACATATGTAATGCCTTAGTCCATAAAGAAAAAAAAGAAACTCCAGCCAAGCTGACCCATTCCACGCGCAGTGGGCGGGTCCCTCAAGGCCCCGCCCCCATCCTGGGCTCAGGCCACGTCCCTTTTTCTGTCTCACGCTGGGGCTGCCCCACAGACCCCGCCCCTCGACTCCGTCCCTGGACTCCGCCTCCCCCGCCCGTGCGCTCAGTCTACGCCCAACACCACCTCAGGCCCCGCCCCCTCACATGCACGCGCTCAGGCCCGTCCCTGTGCCGACCTTCGACTCCGCCTCCGCTCAGGCCCCGCCCCACACCATCTCAGGCCCCTCCCCTCACGTGCACGCGCCCAGGCCCGCCCCTGCGCCGACCTTCGACTCCGCCTTCCGCTCAAGCCCCGCCCCATACCATCTCAGGCTCCGCCTCCATCGCGGGCAGCGCTGGGGGCCTAGCTGTCTTCCGTTACCTGCCCTGGCTCACCAGATGCTTGCTTCCTGCACAAGAGTTATTCAGATTTGAGAATCTTGTCACGAATTCCTTTTAAAGTTACGCACGGATCTTCTTCAGTTATTTGCTCAATTTTGTTTAATATCGAGGCGTTTAGCTTACTACTTCTCTTAACTCCGCGTTTTTTTTCTATCAACATGCAACCATTCTTCTTATACTGGTAAATAATTGACTTTGCCGCATGGTTTTATTTTTTTGTTTTTTTGTTTTTTTAAATATATTTTATTGATTTTTTACAGAGAGGAAGGGAGAGAGATAGTTAGAAACATCGATGAGAGAGAAACATCGATCAGCTGCCTCCTGCACATCTCCCACTGGGGATGTGCCCGCAACCCAGGTACTTGACCGGAATCGAACCTGGAACCTTTCAGTCCGCAGACCGTCGCTCTATCCACTGAGCCAAACCGGTTTCGGCTGCCGTATGGTTTTTAATACTGGCGATGGCAGCTTATTCATTTATCGTTCTACCATCTTTGTAACATTTCATTAAAATCTTTTATTTCTCATGGCTGGTGTGATCTTATGTCGGTGGATTACTACGTCGGACAATGGGGCTTCTTATCCGGATCCCTCCATTTCCGACGATGCGATGCGTATTGCATTCCTTGGAGGATGCGTGTTGCCAATGACCTTCCAGAGCTTGACTCAGTGTTTGATGTTGTATCCATTTTCAGGATCTGAAAAAAACATTCAAGATTTATGTAAAACTACCTTAATGGAATCAAAATATGTAAAAAGCCGATTAACGTTATCACAAAGTTAGGTTCAGAGAAAAATGAAAACATGTTGCGATGCACTATCTTTTTCGTTGTTGTGAACATTGCATAAGAAACTACGGAGAATTGAAGCAGTTCTACCTTTCCCAGACGCATACTCCCTAGACTGGATTCAGTTGTGCACATGTACATATTAACATTTAACTTACCTTGGTATCATACCATTTATGGGAAAGTAATTTTTTGTAAGTACTTTGTGATTTGAAGTTACAGTGGCTCACCAATTGAAAGAAAACTGTTTACAATATAAGATAAAATTAATAAACGTATATGTATCAATTGATCACCTATCGAATGCCAGTCAATACGACTGGCTTTATGCATGCCTTAACTATGAATACAATCACAAGAAAAGTGACTTTATTGTTTTATTTTACTCTATTTTCACCCCAAAGTGAATTTGCTTTGCAAAGGATGAATTTGCTTTGCAAAACGGTGAATTTTCTTTTTCTGGTTAATCCTCACCTGAGGATAGTTTTCCATTGGTTTTTAGGGAGAGCGGAAGAGAGAGGGAAAGACAGAGAGAAAAGTTGATGTGAGAGAAACACATGGATTGGTTGACTCCTGAAGGAGCCCCCACCAAGGACTGGAGTGGGGAGGAGCCTGCAACCAAAATAATGGAACCCGGGACCCTTTGTTCCGCAGGCGGACGCTCTAACCTTGGAGCCATCCGGCTAAAGCTGCAAGAGGTGCATTTAATTTGCGAAGGGTGTCCAGCTTCCAGGACTTGAGCAGCAGACATGCAGCTCAGGGAGGAGAAAAGACAGACGAGTGAGCTGTGGCGTCCTTCCCGGCGTGCAAGCTGATTCTGCACAAGGAAGCAGCCGGTGGTGTAGAGAGGACGGTCCCTTGTCTTGCTTCATGTCTATTGCCATCATCCTGCAGGAGCAGGGTAGACGCCACCCAAAACGTGGTTCTGACGTCGGTGTGTGACCACACACACACACACACACACACACACACACACACACGCACACACATACGCAGTGTTTGAAGAAAATGTCCTACTGAAATAAGGAGGCTTTTCTGGACGCAGCAGGACGGG